ACACCGCCCCCTGACGCAGCATTTGTGGACTCGGTGCTTGCGCAGCTGAAAATCTTTCTCTTCGCTGGCCACGACACCACCGCCACAGCCATCTGCTGGCTACTGTACAGCATTGCCAAGTACCCTGACGTTGCGGAGCGCATCCGTCAGGAGCACGTTTCCGTCTTTGGAAAGACGATGCATGCGACGCGCGAGAAGATCAGGCAGGCGCCTCATCTGCTGAACTCACTCCCGTACACGCTCGCCGTCATCAAGGAAACCCTCCGTATATATCCCGGCCCTGGCGGTATTCGGAGCGGATCAGCCGACTTCTTCATGACGGATCCCACCAACGGCATGCGCTTTCCCACCGACGGGTTCATGATCTGGGATGGCATTCGTTCGAAAGCACGGGCTGGAGAGCAGTGGCATCGCGCCGACGAATTTCTCCCCGAGCGATGGCTCGTAACTGATCAGGAAGATGCCCTGTGCCCAGGCAAAGATTCGTGGCGCGTGTTTGGCCTAGGGCCTCGACATTGCATTGGCCAAGAGCTGGCACTGATGGAGCTGAAGCTCGTTGTCGCGCTTGTGATTAGAGAGATGGACGTCGAATGCGCATGGGAGGAATGGGATGTTCAAAAGTAAGAGTAAAATTTGGACACTCCTGATTCCTGAAACTGACTTGATATTTGCAGTGGCAACGCTGGACCCAAAGAGGTGGTTGATGGTGAACGAGCATATCAAAACGGTGCAGGAACACCACACACGAAGGACGGAATGCCAGTACATGTGAGGCTCAGACAACCCTGAGAACGTGATATGGGAAGATGAAGTCATATAAATGTGGCCTACGTCAAGCAGCTCTTGCGGATCGCGTTGGAATATCTACGTTGATCGTGAAGCCAGACCTCCGACTCTTTGCATCCGCATAGAGGTATGGATATTGCCACGGTGGCACTGTGAAGTAGAAGAAGGCAAATACCCAGAAGAACCCGAGGCCCTTGGCCAATAAGCCAAAGCTTCGCGAGCTTTCTCTGCGCTGCTGCATCTTCGTAAACAACAGCTGGGTCAAGCAGACTTCACCCAGTCCACCGAAGAAGCTCAGCATCAAAAAGACCATGTCTCCCATGAGATCCTCCACCGGGGCCGTTGCTTTTGTAACCCAGTTTACGGCAATGTGTGTAGCTCCCGAGATGGCGAATACCCAGAAGGCCACGAACATCTTCTCACTGCTTGAGCCGGCCTCGATACCCAGACTCCTCCTTGCGATAGTTCGACCCCATATTGCCTGCGATGGGGACCCTATCTTGTGCCAAAAGACGCCCCAGAAACGCCTCAGCGAGTAAGCCTTGAGCGGACTTCCGTAGAGGGGAGGCCAGTCCTCCGGCTCGTCAAGCTGTAGGGCACCAACGAAAACGATGGCGAGTAGAGCATTGGCAACGATGAGAATGAGATACGTCAAGTATGCCCAGTGAAAGGCGTATATGACGCGTAGCATCATCCCGCGGTCTGCCGTCAGATGGACATAGCTCCTCGATTTGGGGGCAAAGTCATTTGGCCGAGGGTTGATGGCCAAGAGAATGACGAATTCGACAAAATGGTACGATATCCACAAAGCAATCAAAAGTCCAAGTTTGCGGGAAACGAAGCCGATCCGGGAGCTTTGTCGAACGATGGGGATAGTGGGAATGTTTAGACGTCTAGGATTCATCCATGCTTTGTAGCAGGCGCGAAGGCTCCAGCCGGCTGATTTTGTGCTTGCTGGGGCCCAGCACTCAATGTAGAGAGCTGACGTGACGTGGAACACGTAGATGAGGGACGTGAAAGCCCAAAGCCAGTCGAGACCTGCTGCCAGTGTGCCGACGCTGTTGAAGCAGAGCAGCGGCCCGATGATGTTGAAGGGGAGTAGCGCCCATCGTCGTGGACCTGGCTCTTCGTGCGCCGTAAGTACAAAAGCTGGGTAGGAGGTCAAGAACCACACGATTGGTTTTGAACCTTGCAATATGGCGATAATGTCTGCATTCCAGAGCAGACGAAGCAACCGGCTTCCCATTGCAGGCTTTTGACCGGCGGTTTGGTTGCGTATGCGAAATGGATGAGGGTTCAAAAAAAGTCTTTGAGGCAGTTAAGAGTGTTCCTATACAGTGCAGTATTCTGAGTTGGAGAAATATATTGCACATGTACTCGTGGTGTCTCAGATACCTGGGCAGCTTTGCATGAGTATCGATCGATGTGCTCAGATTGTGATTGTCGGAAAGATCATTCGGAGACCACAACAAGGTCCGAGTATTTTGTAATATCAGCCAGGCTCTTGGCAAAGCAATGTGAGGCTGAATTCGATGTCTTGTGCAGGAATTGCATGTAAGAAGCCAAAAATGGAAGGGAACTTTCGCAGTCAAACCCACCAACCCTCCGTTTCCCCGCATGGGAAGGATTCCGCTAGACGCCGACTTGGCTCCGGGACTTGCGCCAGATTCATCACCCGTCCAGGGCGCCTCATGAGTAGAGTAAGACAATGTAACACGGAAATGTTACATCGAGCGCGAGAAGGATTCAAATAACGGAGCACGTATCCCACCTTCCCAAGAAGCTCTGGTTGTACCCCTTCGAATGTGTGGAGTTCAGGTCTTACCTTGATTACATCATTGGCCATTGTAGGAACACCAAGACGGAGAGCGGCCGATTGAGTTCCACTATCGCACACCTGTCCCTGTGGGAAGCTGGTGTTCATCAAACGGACCTTCTGGCACATTTTAGCGCTGACTTGTACCAGATTTTTTATTGGCCTGATTGCAAGCTGAGCGTCGTCTACACTTTACGCGTACATGGCCTGACATTGAGCGCAGGTGATATGTATGGCCAAGAGCTTCACTAGTCGTGCCAAGTCGACTCCTCTGTGTTCAGAGACTGATCAATGGAGCAGGTCAATCGACATTGAACGATTGGCTGAGACCTTTTAACAGTTCCTAGACGATACAGATGGACAGACATTTCCATTGCTGGGAGCTGAAGTTCCGATGATGTTTACAGATCCACAACCTCCCAACTCTGGACAGGCGTTAGCGGCATGTCTCTAATCTGCTCCTTGCATGCATTTACGAGACCAAGCCCATTTTCACTGTTGTATATTCTCCAACATGGTCGTGCCCTTACCTTGGCTGCATAAAACTTTGGAAGCCCAGAGCTCACCACATTTGGGAATATGTAACGGTATAAGGAATTGAGCCGGCCCTTGGACGGTTTAAGCAGGCCCTTCGTCAGCGGTCCTTCTTGGCAATTCTGGAACCAGAACTCATATGTACTAGCTATGCAGTTGCCTAGGCATGCTGGTTTGCGTCGGCTTCGCCGGCCACGAAGCAAGGATGCTGGTCTTATCGAAACTGACATAGGACGTCTTGTGACGAGCCAGCATCGTAACAACACCTTGGCAGGAGGCTGGGCACTGCTCAGATTATTTTACTGGATTCACGCATGCGCTTATTCATTTTGCCGGCTGGCATAGGTTTCTCAGGAGACCTGTACCCTCTCGTTCGCAAAAATACCCCTCACTGAGAGCCATGCAATACGATGGGGAACAGGGTTTTCTAGTCGCCGCATGTGGCACGAAGTTTGTAGTTTCGATGCCAGCACGACGAAGCAGCCCGTCCTGGCTATCAATGACACCACCAATCCAAACTACGCGTTGAAAGGTGGCAACATCCAAAATAACACGATCCAACATAGTTTCAAAGGGCTATTGGTGACCCACTTGGCTCTAATGCATTGTAATCTTCACCTAATGGCTAAGTATACGGAGATTTACCTCCAGTCAGTCTTGGCAACCATACTATAGACACGAATCCTTCGGGTCTAACAACTTCTTATGCTAGCATAACTAATGTGTAGAACGTGTAGCACTTGTAGTGGAGCAATGTGAGAAAGCCCTCACTGGCAGGAGCCTGTCATGTGTGGAACTGGACGAGTCGTTAGATGTTTATAAAAGCCGTTGACTCTTGCTTTCTCTTGTCCTTTGTCCGTACTCATCATCCTGCAATCTCAAGTAATTCCCATTCAGAGAACTCGTTCCTCATATACATTCCCATCAAACGTACCAAATACCCACCATGAAGACCTCTGCCATCCTCACGCCTCTCGCCCTGGTTGCTGTTGGTCTGCAGCCAGTCAGTGCCGATATTGGCCGTGGCGCTGGCCTTGTCATCGACTTGTTCGGCCAGGGCATTGCAGAGCTCTTTGTGGAGATCTTCTCGAAGAGGGACGCTGCCAACGTTATCGTTCGTCGTCAGGTTCCCGGCGTTCCGGAGTTCGAGTACCAGCGCTGCCGCGAAGACATTGCGGGCCTTACCATCACCGCCACTTCTCCTGCCCCGAATTGTAAGTTGGACCTTGAGCCACCCCGAATCCGTCATCACTGACTCAAGTAAATTTGCAGCTGTTCAGTTCACTGGTGTGCCTCCTACCTGTATGAACCTGGCTGGTGTTCTTGTCGGTGACGAACCCGGCCCGTATGCCCTTCCTTGTGGCTCCGACTGCCTCATCTACGAGGACCTCACACCTGAACAGTTCGACGAGCTTGTCAGCGTTCTTCAGAGTGTGTAAGCAAAAAGCACATACCACCTGCCATATCACAACATGCCACCAGTAATCGCACGACATGGTAATGTAAGAATGGTGGACAAGAGGTTTTCGACCAAAGCCGCAATTTTCCTCATCATAGGATTTTCTTAAGTTGCAGATTTCAACAATTTGACTACTTCTACACACAATAAAACATTCTGGCCAACCCTATCTCCAACGTCCCGTATGTTGATTATCACGAGATATCATGCAACGTTCAAATGAACGGAGCTGGTTAGAGGTTATGGCAGCCTCACTGAACGCTGGTCTCCTTAAAGATACTTTGATCCATACTAGCGCCCTCAACATCGCCGTGCCCTTCAGGATCTGCGCCCTGAATTTTAATACTAGTGGTGCGGAGTCCGCAAGGAAGATGGAGATCTACACCGCGATTGTTGATCTCATCTATGTCAGCATTGGTAGGGTCGTGGACCATCTTGAGGCCACAGGACAGCTTATTAACACGTGTCCTATTCATGTCCCACAATGGCGCTGAAGGAGCCATTCTGGAAGCCCTCCCACTGATGGGTGGCGCCGGTACTTTCCAGACGATTATCGACAGGTACTACGATAACTCACTGAAAAAACGTAGGGATGGCGAACTTCTTTGTCTAGGACGTTGCGGAATGGGCTTGTGCTTCCATGGCACCATCGAGAGGTTTCAAGACATACATCACTGAAGGTAGCATTCGGTGCTCCTATGTAGCTTGATTTCCGGCCTTCACCAAATCTGGGACGAATACAGATTCGTTTGCAACTGTGAAGGAGATCCTCTCGACAGTTGTAGAGCTGGCCGCCATCTCTCTGCCGGGAAAAGTCTTCCGCGGCCGGTAGGTGGTCTTTGGGCGAGGAGCTTCTTAGGCACTGCGTCTATACAATCACGCCCCCGCTTTCCATGATGCCAAAAATCAAATCACAGGCTGGGAATTTTTTGGCCTAAGAGCCATACGTAAACGGCCCTGGAGGCACTTTACATGACTGCTCCACGTGGAAAGGACATTTGATTTCGAACCAGCACGATATACCATTGGAGGGGCGTAGAGGCGACATGTGAATAGGTTGGACTGAGCCAGGGTAGCATTATCACGTGGATAGATTACGGATCCAAGAAAATTTCTCATGATGTACATTTATGATTGATAAATACTGGTCGTCATCAAGTCTTTTAGCACATTAGACAAATGGCCAGTATGCGTTCACATCAGGCCGGCGGCAGCAAGCATGGCGAAGAGCATGACGCTCGACCCTGTCAGCTGAGCGGCACCATTGTCCTCAGTCGCAGCCGACTATCAGTATGTTAGCGGTCTCGCTTCATGAGGTCGTCACAATTTGTCTTACAGGAGTGGCGGTAGCCTCAGCAGTGGTTTGGGCAGCGGCAGTAGTTGATCCAGCAGCCGTGGCAGAGTCAGGAGTGGCGGCAGTGCCGACAGGAACAGCCTCAAGGTCGCATGCCTCAGCGCCTTCCTCAACGCCCTGGCCGTAGTGCTGCCAGATGTCGAACTCGTTGGCGCACTCGAGGCACTCCTCCAAAAGGTCGAGCCAGGTGGAGTTGCTGCAGTGGACTTCGCCGTCGTTGCTGCCCAGGATGGCATTTCCTGCGAATGTTAGTGATCGGAAACAAGTGATGTTAAGGGTGATCTGAAGCGTACCGCAGTTCGAGTGGCACTCAAACTTCTCGCCAGTAGCTTGACGGGCCTCGAGGGGCACGACGTCGAGATACTCATAACCAGCGACGACGGGGATGCAGGCAATGCCGGCAGCGGCAAGGAGAGCAAAGTAAGACTTCATCTTGTCAGTATTGGAGTGGCAATGACAAAAGACTGGTGCTTGACGAGAGGCTCGATTGAGGTGAGACCTGTGGGTTGGATCTGCGGGAAGCTAGACAGGATGCCAAAGCGAAGAAATCGCGGGAACTGCGACGTGAGGAAGGGGAATACTATATAGATTCAGACCACCTCGGTGATAGGGCCCACGGAAATGCCTGGGTGTGTGGCCCCTGATCCCGGAACGGCCTAGGACCTGACGCCTAGTCTCGTTGGCAACTCTGGGCACTGCGAGGTCGGGAAGGTATGCCTGTATAGGCAGTCATCCGATTTGGGATTCGACGTCTAGCTTGGGTTTCCTGCTTTGAGCCCACCCAAACCATACCTCGAGTGGAGGAATTACTAACAAGTTCTTTTGGTTGGACCAGTTGCGCAGTAGAATAATGCCTGAACGAGAGCATCCAGACCGCCCGGTACGGTGGCTTCTGCGAACCACGGGAACTGGTGTTCCCAGAACTTGAAGATCAGCTGCCCCAAAAACTTGGGAGGACCACGAGGAGACCCCATAGCAAGAACAAGCTAGCATAACTAATTTTCATGTTATTGGGCGCCCCCTTCGTGACCAGGGACTGGCGATGCGAGCCACGCCGTTGTTTGATTGGTGTGATTCATCTTATCTGATGATCTGATAACTCTGTAGCCCTGTCCGCATCCACTCGCTCACGCACGCCAAGCACTATGCTTCCCAACCTTGATTTTGAGCCAATCGCCGAGGGGGAAGGCATTAAATCAGCATGCCCGGTGCCGGAGTCTGTCGTCAAGAGGGGGAGGAACACGCGAGTGGAGCGGTAAAGCGGGCGCTCGACTCATTGGCGACTGCGTAATATAAAGGCCCAGATGCCCAAGCCTCGCCAGCAGTGAGCCGTTGGCCAAGACCCGAGCTGTCTTGGGACGACATCCGAGCCGCGAGGAGTTGCCTGCTGGGAGCCGACGCTATGTCGACCACTCTTGAGTCTTAGACAGGTACGAGTCGGTGGCAAGATGGAAAAGTCACACTACATGAGTCGATGCGCAGAAGTTCTGCTCTCTTCAACGGGCAACTACGATGACGCGCAAAGCGACCAGTCGACTCCTCGAAATCCTGAACTCTTCGAGGGCAGCATTTCATTCAAAGAGTAACCATGAAGGCACAATGCAGCGGAGGACCGAATTTCTGTCCACCACCTAGACGAAGCCAGTTGGCCTCCAGTGCAGCTCTCTACTCGTCGACTCTACAGAAGCCTTCAGTGCGAGGACCATGCCTACCGATGCTTCCAAACGATTACTCAATTGAGACAAGACAGTCCCATCGGATCTTCAAGTGGAGAAATTCAACTTTATCTTCAGATCCGAGGTCTCCGCGTTGAACGTAGCGTGAACAAGACGACAGCAATTCTCATCGAAATTGCCATCACTCTCAATCATCTTCGGAGTGCAACAAAATTGAGAGGCTGCACCACGCCATGGACGAACGACTGAAGCGCAATTATATGATGCTCATCCGCTGTAGCATGGCCCGGACTAAGTACAAATTGGCAAGGATCACAACTACGAAGAAGCACGCCTTGCGTGGGCAATTCCCACCCAAAGTCCTTCAGGAATATCATACGCCCTCTCGCCATGTCCTGGTGTAATGATCCGTCGAATATTGCAAGGTTGGGCAAATGGCTATACTGACAAGTCTCCGAGTATTGCCTCGGCATTGGTCTACATCGCAGAGCCAGCCGTGGTATCCTAATTCTGGAGACGAGGCGCCTGCTACCGAGGGGATAATCGCCAGGTATAGAAAGAATCAAAATCCTCAATGGTGCCATCAACCAATGGAATTTATACTGGAGGTGACTTGGTCGCCATCTTCTTGATCTGGTGCAATCCTGGTGGCAGTCGATTGCACATCTTTCACAGTGAGAATCCTACTGAGGTGATCCGTTGGAGTGTACAACGTAAGTCGACAAATCAGTTCTCTTGATCAATATAGAGTCAGCGTTTCCTGTAGCGCTACGAATTCGCCAGTGGTCATGAGCAGAGGAATGTGCTTGCATCTTCGACATTGTCGTTATAAAAACGGTAGCAGATGAAATTGCATGGCAAGTTCTAAGCATCGTAAGTGCATGTAATCATAACACAGTTGGTCGCTCTGATTGCGCATCCATTCAGACGTATTCAATCAGTCTTGTCAGCGACAGCTGATCTGTCAGAGCGTGGTTGGAACAGAGTGAAGAGGTATTCCGTACTAGGTCCGTAGGCAAAAGATAGTGGGTAGAAGGTTGGAATACATCCGAATTGTGGCCCTCCGCAGCTGGGAGGGCTTGCCGCAGTCCTTGTATACACGTTGTTGTAGCCCCTAGCCCCTAACCAGCCCCCTGCTCCGCGGCTTCGCAAGGGTCTTCCGACACGATCAAAGCTACTGACAGATCCACAGTCTCATGTACGGGTCTCACAAGGTTCAGATGAACGATCAAGCGAATATACCTACCGAAGCCCCGATGATATTGTCTGGGTCCTGTCGTCACGCACTTAGCAGAGGTGGCCTGCTCATGCAAGGGCATCTGCTGCATTGCGGAACCAAGACCTCTTGTCCTCAGCTCGCCATGGTCAAAGTAAGTTTCTACTACTCACATCACAAGTGCACCAACTTTCGCGGCGTTCAACAGACTCGGCTCCTCAACTTTGGGCAGTCGTGGCGGACCTCACTAGTTCACAAAGGCATGATATCCGGGGTGCAGCGGAAGTCACAAGGGTATGGTCGGAGGTGAAAGAGTCAGCTCTGTACCAGGTTCGATGTGGGAGATCCGAACGAAAAGACTGCTGCTTTCTTGGACGGAAGGGATGAATGGCGGGTTGATTGGACTTAGGCATGCGTCAGCCTCTTTTTGCACATTTTGGCCTTCATTGAATGACGAGGGCTTGAGGTGGCATTTTTCACGTCATCGAGGCCGGTATTCGTGCGACCACTGGTATCAACATGCTCAATGCAATTAAACGAATCAACCGAAATGAAACGTGTTAGCCACCGCCTCTCGTGAAGGCTCGCCCGATCATGCATTCAGGGTCGGCAATCTGTCGCCGGCCTAGACTACCATCCACATCATCCCTTTTCGTCGGGTTGGGTGGACGCTGTTTCTGGCGGCATCGTTGGCATCCAGCCAATTGCCTCAAAATACGAAGAACAGTCTGATATTAATTTGTGTGTACAAGAGCGCCCCCTTGAAATCTCGAAAATGCCAGATAAGAGAAGGGCGTATACCCTGTCTATTGCCAGGCTCGTGCTCCCAGCATGTCAGAGCAGCCTGGGAGCGGCCCAGCGCTTTCGTGCTGCACAAGGAGAGCAATCAGGATCGCGAACGTCTTTGTTTCTGACAAAACCAGTCATGAGAGGCTCTTCAACGATTGTAGGAGTGACCATGGGTGAGCGTCTTGAGCACCCTCCGCGCGGGGGTATCAGGCGAAGCATCGAGAAAAGCGATCGGATTCACTGCGACAAGGTGACTTCACAAGGTGTGTGTGGATGTCAAATGCCATGCAGGCCAGTAAGCGAGAGTTTCTGGGCGTCTCGCCGGCGTTGTTATCGCTTGACTGACCAACTAGGTACTTTCTGCATGGAGGTCCAGCGTCCGCCCACCACCAAAGGGCTGCCACGACATTAGCATTAATACGAATCAGCGAACGGCACTATGAAATCCCATGCTATCAGATACAGTATCTACTGTCCGACTTTCATCGCTATAGGTTACCAAAGAGGACGTGTAAGACCGCACAAATGTCGACAGCCCCTAAAGATCCAGGAGCAGTACGGGAGTGCTGCTTCTTCTTCAGGGAGAAAGCACTATCTGGGGTCACACTTCTTGGTCGATCGCGGGTAACTTGGCTTGCTCTCAAGAGTCCTTATTTGCGTCTACCTAAGCCGTGGAGTATTGCCTAGTGGCCTCTGGCAAGTCTTTGGATGATCCTTCGGCCACAACTGCTTTTCAATAAAGCTCTGACAGGTGATGGTGCTGGGAGCAATCTCGTTGAGTTCAAGCCTGATGCCCGTACGCCCGCCAGGGGCGGCATAGGACATCCCACCACCGGTTTCGACCTGGCCGTCGCCTGCGATTAGCACCCCTCGACCCTGCTACCTACCGAGCCTAGCCTCCCCAAGTGCCTGTATACATGAGGCATCAAATTCCATAGCCAAAGTAGATGGAGGAGTCTGTCGTTGGTGGTCATGATTTAGGAATATAAAATCCTCAGGGCAGAGTCCTAAATAGGTGGAAGCTCTTCCTGGTAAGGTGTATTCATCGACTCTCCGATGAACATGTGCAGCTCAAGGCGGTCGGAACCCTTGTGGGCAGCATCCCAGGCGCTCTGGAGCAAACCCTCCTTTTCAGGACGCCCATTTTGCCAAAGTCCCTCAACACCCATCCATACCTTGCTCTGCGGCATGGCTGCCCTTCGCAAGAAATTATTACACTAGCGTCCAAAATCAGTACCACTCAAGACCATCTTCAGCATTCTATCATTGCGTCAGAACAGTGATCACGGCGTTGTCGACTAGTTGGCCATTATCAAGGCATGCGAAAGCGCTAGAGCTGCTGATGGCCACCGCCCAAAGCCACCATCGCTGTTCATGTCCTTCCGCTAACCAGGTTTCGACATGACGCCGACTGCAAGATCCATTCCACATGACAAGGTGGTCCCATCGAAGCGCCATTCTTGAGCGAATAGCACGCAGCCACGAACCTCCAAGACGTCCAGCGTCTGGTCCAGCCTGCGCGCAATCCCGTTTTGAGTCTAACATGCGTTTGACGCTACCTACTTCGCACCAAAGAGCGCCCTTGCTTCGATGACCCAGTTCCTGACAGTCTTAAGACTCATCCCGTTCCCTATCCAGGCTGTCGGGCCATCACCTCATTAGTCGTCCGATGAGGGTGCTTCATCTACTCTCTTCCTTGTGACCCCTTATCGACGACATGGCCAGCCGAGCACTCCAAAACTCAAAATGGCGATGACCCCCACTGATACAGAGGCCCCCGACCCAGCGCTGTCTGCCACAGCACAACCAATGCTGTCTTCATCCCCCGAAGATACCCCTGCACCGCAACAAGAGGTACGGGCCCAGGTTCACGTCCGATTCAGGGCTGGCGTGTCCCGAGCATCTGGTACGCCAAGGTCTAATGGCATGCAGGATGAGCAGAACGAGGACCATGATTCGGCCCTGGGCGAAGACGAACAAGACGGGTAAGCCACCAACTGATGGCGCACCCATTCCCTCGGGTCGGCGGAGAACCTCTGCCCTCTCCAACTGCCCTGGCTGACACATGGGGCCGTAGATCTGCGTCAACGTGGTCCATCACCTCCAGCGTCCTGAACTACCGAGAGCGACATGGCCGCACATGGCACAGCGAGCGGACCGACACGCAGTACTTTCTGCCGAATGACTCGAAGCAACTCGAATGCATCGACATGACGTACGTCGAAACTTGTTACTCTTGCCCCTTCCTCCAGACGAGCCCGTCGCTCATCACATCTCATGACCTCAGCCATCGCTTCCTGACGATCCTGCTCGACAACAAACTTCTGCTCGCCCCATTGGAACCCGGCGCCAAGCGTGTGCTCGACGTCGGCACAGGGACAGGTATGCGATCTCCCGTCCCGTCCACCAGGTTGCGCGAAACACCCCGAAACTAACGCTGGGACCAGGAATATGGGCAATGTAAACCCCAACCACCAACAAAGGGCCCCAAACCAAGCCTGCCTCTTCGTGCCATGACCGACCGACTGACCGCGGCACAGAGCCTTCGCCGACGCGTTCCCCGAAGCCGAAGTCACGGGCACCGACCTCTCCCCGACCCAGCCGACATGGCTGCCCTCCAACCTCTCGTTCGAGATTGACGACTGCACGCGCACCTGGACCTGGGAGGCCAACACGTTCGACCTGGTACACATGCGTCTCCTGTTCGGCGCCATCACCGACTGGCCCGCCCTGTTTCGTGAGGCGTACCGTACGGCGCGGCCGGGTGGCTGGTGTCAGTCGTGCGAGGCGGAGTGTCTGATCCGCTCCGACGATGGCAGTATCACGCCCGACACGGCCATGGGCTCATCATGGTCGCGGCTGTTTGTCGAAGGAGGCGAGAGGCTCGGGCGTTCGTTCACGGTTCTGTCCGATGAATTGCAGCGGCAAGGGATGCAAGAGGCGGGATTTGTGGATCTGCACGAAGTGAACTTTAAGATACCTATTGGGGACTGGCCACTGGATCCCAAGCTTGCCGAGGTCGGGCAATGGGTTCGCTTGACCATGGAGCATGATCTTGAAGGTGCGTACCCATCATGGTCGTCATGGGAAGGGCTGTAGTTGACGCGCTTAGGCTATACGCTTTTCATATGGAAGGATGTCCTCGGGTGGGATACGGACGAATACCGGAGGTTCTTAACGTCGATGAAGGAGGAGGTGAGATCACGAAAACTACATGGCTATATGACTGTGAGGTACATCTACGGGCGCAAGCCTTAAGACGGTCTTGAAGGACAGGCTCTGGAAAAGGATTACAAGTAGGCAGATCGAGCCTATAGACGACTTGTACATGTTTCATGTTTTGTTAAACAGGTGAGAGATTTCTTGGATGGCAATCTTACCATTATAGTACCGTGGGACTTGCTCAGTGGTACTGAACCGGTCATCCCACCCATGCTTTCTATCAATACTCGCGGCAATGTTCGTCGAAACAAAGAGTAACAAAGCGAAATGATGCTTGTCCTATCATAGAAATAATGTATGTGTCAACTGGGAACGGCTGGCATCATCCGCTGTTCATCGAAAACGCCGGCCAACAAGAGCCGGTGACGATAGGAGCTGTCAGACATGAATCGTCTGCTCCACGAGTCTCACTGCTTGGTTGATGGCACTTCAACCGAACGGAGTAGCTCGCAAATGGGACATGTCGGTATCAAAATCAAGAATTAAAGGCTGCAAACATTATGGTATGCTCTCCGAGTCGTTTCCAATCATCCTGTAACATAAGACAATACTCGATCACGTAGCAAAACAAAAGATCTGAGGTCCAAGTCATTTTTTGTTCCAAAAGAGTATGTATTTGTGTTCATAGGCTATGTTGCCCGACGCTGTTCGTGAAATCATCATCCTTTTATCCTACCCTTTCTTCTTTTACATCAGCAGGAAAGCAGTCATAATAGCCACGGCCGCAACACCCAGCGACCCAGCAGCCAGACCCGTCGCGGCGCTGTCGTCATTGTTGCCGCTGCCGCCATTACTCGAGTCGGCGGAGCCCGTCTCGGTGGGCTGGACGAGAGTACCAGAGTCGGTGGACGACGGGGTGCCAGACTGGCGCTCAAGGATAAAGATCTCGCCTGTAGAGTCAGAGGTGACGTAGAGGCGACCCTGGGACTCCCACGCGAGACCGACGGGGCGGAAGCAGTTCTCGGGACAGGTGGAGAGATCGGTCATGCGGACGATGTGCGTCAGACTGTTGGCGGAGGTGTGAGGCTCGGTGGGCTCGCCGTTAGCGAAATCGACCACCGAAAGGGAATAACCCTGGGGGTTCTCGCGGTTGACTGGGACTTGTCAGCATTCATTCACGGGAGAAGTTGCGGAGAGGTGAGTAACATACAGCTGCCGTGGAAGGAGATCCAAGCCTCGGTACCATTTTCATTGAAGATGATGTCGAGAGGGGCGGTGTGGGCGGGGAAAGCCAGACGGGGAGCCTGGTATTCTTCACGGCAGGTAGTGTCGTCAAGAGTTGTATTTGTGTCAATGGCGAACTGATCGCCGACCTCGAGATTGTCGTGGTCGGGAATGTCGTCGGCGTCCCAGACAGCATAACACTGAGGGTAGCCGTAGTTGGTGGCATTAGCTTCGTTCTCGGGGGCATCCTCAATAGTGCCGTGCTCATTGAGCTCCTCGGCAGGGTTGTCCTCTTTGATCAGCTGGCCGTTACGCTCAACATCGTCAACCGAGTTCTCCACAGAGTAGAACCTGCCGGATGTGGGCTCCTCAGCAACACCGACTGAGTTGCGCAGACCCCAGCCGAGGACACGGCCCTCAAGATAGTCAATGGGGAACGAGTCGGTGTTGTTGATGTTGAAGGCGCGAATCTGAGACATGCCCGAGTCGATGTTCATAGCTTCAGTCGCCAAATTGTCGCCGCTCCCGCGAGAGACGACGAGGTATCCAGGGCTGTGGCGCGAGACGACGAGCGTACGGGTGACATGCTGGTTGCTGGCCATGCCAGTAATCACCTCTGTTCCGTTACCGCTGACGGCGCCGGTGGAAGGGTCGTAGGGCCAAGCGAAGACGGAATCGACGGTGGAGGCGTACAGGGTGCGTCCGTCGATGGAGAAGGCCATACCGTGGTTGAGCTATGCGTATACTATTAATTTGGTTGAAAAAGCTTGGCAACGGAGATGAGACAATCGCAACGTACCCCTTCGAGCTCAATAATGACCTTGTTCTGGTCGACCTCGAGACAAGTGTGGCCGTGGTCTGTGAAAGTGATGTGGCGAACACCGACGCCAGCGTCCAGGACGATGAGAGCGCCAGCGTTGTCGACGGCAATGGTGCGCGGCTTGACGAGGCCGTTCATGATAAGCTGAGCTTGCCATCCTGGGTGGACAGCGGGTGCATTGTACTGGGTGGTGAGGATGTTCTGACACTCGGTTTGGGCAAGAGCAGTGGCGGACAGAGCCACAGCCGCCGTGGCAGCAGTGCGGAGACCCTTCATGCTGGCGATGGGCGCGCGATAGTGTTGTATAGGGGTCCTGTTGTTTCTATCGATGGGCAAGATGCTGACCTTCAGAGACTTTGCGAAAGAAGAGGAACTGCTGTTCGTTCGGAATCGCGCGTGCAATGAAGGGCAGAGAGGGTCCAGATTCTGTCAGCACGTTCTGCAATGCAGGCGAAGGATGGAAGGATACCAGCAAGGTCGACCCACCGGGAGACCCCTCCTTCTGATAGCCCCTCACTTATCATTTTGCCCCTCGTGTAGGCCTAGTTCGGCCGACCTCGTGGTAGTGCCGATGGCATCAGGCCCAACGGTGCCAGCGCCTCGGGGGCCTTTTTGCCCCTCACGCGGGGCCGCCAAGGGTCGCCTAGGCCCGACCGGAGCAAGTCGAATGCAGGCGGACGAGCCAGCCGATCACGTTTGGCGAAGATTCGGCGCACCTGGCAGCGCCAGCACCAATGCGCCTCGCGCGTCGACAAGCCTACCCTGGCCGCTCTTTGGTGTGTCTGCTCTCGCGGTGGGACGGATCAGACGAGAGAAGCTCAGTAGCTGCTGAATACGGAAGGGCGAGGTTGGGCCCCACGCAATAGCTTTGCCTGGACTCGGCCTATTGTGCCACTTGGTCCAGTGCGGCGGGACAATTATTCAAGTTCTGTCGGGAGAATCAGGGCTGTCCTGAATTGGCACTGTCATTGATCATACTCGTGTTGTCGTTCAGGCCATACAGCCAAAGTTGCTTGCTTGATGGGAGGCTGCAATTGCTTCGGTGATGACGAAGTGTGACGGCTGTCCAAGGGTCGATTCCGTGGCGAGTTCACGCACTTGCTGATGATCGGCGGTGTCGATGTGCATTCGAATTGCGTTCCTCACATCGAACGACTCGGTACTCGATGTGGACTGATGGAGGAGCGATTCGATTCGATGCTTCCTTCGAAGCTCCGAATACCGGTAGACTAGAACGCATCCCATCTACATGGAGCGTCTGATGGCATGGGCTATCTGGCTGGCGTGGCCTAGTAACGACAGCAGGAACTATCTCGAAGTAGGCAAGCGTGCCATGCGTGTGAGAGGAGGAGGAATTCGGCATGCGACGAAGAAGCGTGGGATGTTGAGATTCCACAAGGCCTTGTCATTGTCAAGCTTGTGGAAAGAGGACGCGGGAGATGCCCAGGCAAGAAAGACCAGGCTCCTGGGGCGGGGTAGGGACGCTTCCACGGCCATTGGCTCTGGAACGCATGCGTTCAGGCACCTGGGCCATCTGAGGCACCTGGAAGACGTGCAGTGAGACATTTGGCAGCGGCCATCTTGCTGAGCAAGCTTCACACTGTGGAATTCTCCATCAACCCACCAACAAGTCCATCATCTTGGATCGGTCAAACTCTGGACCAGTGCTACAATGCCATCCATCAAGAACACGCTGCATCTTGCCGTGAAGTCCGAAACCCACCGCTGAAAAGTTGCGAACTCTTGCAGTGTTTTTCGCACCAGGGCTCTCCGCTGCGGCAAACCGCTGGAAGTCCGCCTTTCGATGAGCGCCAGCTTCTTGGTCCACCAAGCCCACCAAGCCCCCCAAGCCCAGTCAAGCAGTCAATTGTCTTCGGAGGCAAAAAACGGCTCCTCACGGCCGGCCTTGGTTGAAAGGCTCGAGTCTGCCATTGGACGGAAGAAAAGACCGCAGACAGGACCGATGAGACCGATGAGACCGATGAGACCCTTCTGGAGCCTGGGCGAAAACTACCAGTAGAGACACAGCACCAGAGACTCTGCCGTCCCAGCCATCCATATCCATATACGTTTGCGCTAGGCTTGTTGTTCGTGGATCGATAGCTTGGCGAACGCGAGCCCCGCCATTCATTACCCCTCCCCCTCCATCAGCGCACGATTTTAACGGAGGAGAGCTCTTGGCACACTCGGTGATCAGCACCGCCCCCGAGACACCCTGCCGCCCCTACCTCGCGCCGATGTGCAACTCGAGTTCAGTCTGCTCAGCTTCATCGTCTCCTTTCACAGAATCTTCGAAGCAGTCCATACCAGCACTGCAAGCTTCACTTTCGAGACCACGCACCATGGTCGCCCTGACATCCCGACTGGCGCTGGCTCTCCTCGCCGCCTCCCCTCTCTCTGCTTCTGTGCTGCGCCCAAGAGCCGGCGCCAACAGGCAATGGGTATCAGTCGACTCTGACGGCAACGCGCACACCTACATCCCGACCTCGACACAGGTCAATGGCGTTGCGACGACACTATCAGCCGCCCCCTACATCTTGACCGGCTCCGTCTTCACGGTGACAGCTACAAATGGCGACGTGAGCACAAGCACAGGCGCCCCGCCTCCACCGCGAGCCACTGACTCCGATGGTGGTCGCGGCGTCTTCAATGTCTGCATGGACAATGCCAACAGCCAGATTGCCCCCTTCTGCCAGCCGCGCGCCCGCTCCGAGCTCTACGTCAAGGAACCGTACTACAGTAGGTTGCATCTTTGTTCACACAATCCCTCGCAGTGTGCTGACCGTCGACAGTCACCTGGGACAGCAGCGGCTTCGGCGCAGACCTCAACACCGTCGCCAATATTGTCGGCCTCGCCGTGACCCGCCAGAGCGGCACTCCGACCAATGCCGAACCCAACTTTGTTATCAACGACACGAACATCGTTCTCGGCAAAGGATACTACGCCTGGACCCCTTCCGAAGCTGATCTCAAGGGTAGCACCGACTTCCACAATGTCACGCTCATGCTGCAGTTTGTTTCTTCGGAATCAAACGAGCTGACCAACGTCATG